CCCCGACCCCTCTCTGTCTCCCTCCGTCCATCCCTCTCTCTCCCCTCTACCGTCCCGCAGACCCTAGCAAAAGCCAGTTGGAGCAACAGAGATGGAACACATGACTTGCCACTCCTCGCATTGCTACCCCGGGCCCCACCACGCCCCGCCACGCCCCGCCACGCCCCGCCACGCCTCGCCACGCTTCACTACACCGGTCGATGCCACACCCACAGAGGGGTGTGGCGGGGCGCGGTGGGGGAGGAAGGAGGTGGAGAGTCTAGGGGCGTAACCCCCGCCGGGACGGCCATGCTGGGGTTCTCTGGCAATCCAGGCATAAAAATATTTAAAAAGTAGGAACAAAAAGAAAGCAGAAAGCAAAATTTTACACCGCATCCTCAAGATGCGGACTGGGGAAAAAAAGTTTATTTTCCGTACTTGTTATTTTTGAGCCCCGACTAGACATCCTCACCTAGGAAACCTGCTAAAACGTTGTTTGCTTTATTGATCCTCAGAACAGCGCGACGCGCGTCCTCCTGGTTTTCTTTTCTACTTTTTTCCGTCGTTGTTATTTCCGGCACATTTCGTGAGTGAGGTCGCCGCGACGGGCGCGACGCGGTCGGATTACTACTGTCGGACGACATTTCACGTCAGGGCGACGGGACAAATGGGCTGGATAATTGAGTGAAAGCCGAAAATCAATAACATTTGGACGATGGAAATGGATTTTATTCTCGAAAATCCAAGGAGATCGCTCTCACATATATCAGACACAAGGGAGGGGGGAAACGACCTTGACGCGCAATATAAGTACAGTTTATGTATTATGATAAAGCATTTAAACGCGTAATCTCCAATAAAAGACTTACATTGACTTGCATTTTATCATTCTTTTCCAGTAACAGAGATAAATTGGAACATAATTAATGGACTTCGCTCCCTCTGCACTTAAAGAGGAGCCTATTGCTTGACGCAGACATATAACTTTTTAAAATATGGCAAGGAGGTAAAGCAGAACAAGTATAAAACCGTCCTGCTTCATATAAAAAAATTAACAATGATTTAGAAGAGACATTTGGTGATATCTGAATGAACAAACACGTATGCATTTTCATTCGTACATTTGGATTTTCTTTGACAATTCTGACTAGGTTTTCTTCTCCAACAAATTTCAATAGATTTGAGCTTCTATACGATTGACTAGAATTAGTTAAAGCTCGACCCTCTACTGGATGGCTTACATTTGCAGCACACACTTCAAGCGACTAGAAAACACTGGAAACAATTGTCGTGTGAATCACATAGTGCCTCGAAAGAAACGGCGGAAAATGGATGTACAATATCCAGCCAGCATTCCACCGAAATAATAATTATAATAATAAAGAAAAAAAACACAGGTAACTTTTAAATATGGCCTTGCTTAAATTTACAATACACAAGGTAAATTCCACGCTCGCTGCCGTGTTGTGCAATTAATCCCTGAAGGAGATTTACAATATCAATATCACAGTGTCAGAGCAGGGGAGGGCGCGGGACTCATCGAAGGCATCTCTTGATAGAAAAGTGACGGCCAAACGGGGCATCTCCCGATGGCAATAACAGACACAGTCGCCCAGTTTGCGTTCTCGCGTGCACTCACCTCGAAAGCTAATTGACAAAATCAACATACGATTCAATGTCGATCAACACGATCGACCTCGCTCGGGTGTGCAGCCGGCTATGTGTTTAAACATTATCACTGTTTCTTAAAAGATTTTCTGGATCCCTTCCCGCAGTGCAATTATAGCAACGTTTCAAAAGCGGGATTCAATGTGGGAGCCTTTTTCTCTGTCACTTATTCTGCGTCACCTCTCAAAAATAAAATAAGGTCTGACCCTTTTTTTTTGTACTTGTTCATAATCTTTCATACTCTAAACCCGCTCGTCATCATACTACACACTTATACACACATGCCTTTACATACATACAACAAACATACAACAATCACTACACAGGAAAAAACTGACAAAAAATCACAATGAATCAACACTGGGGCTTTCCCTCTTCTTTGGAATGGGTATACACCATGCATCACAGGCACGTCTTTGTCGCAGTGTACTCTCACGCACGGCACGAGCCTAGAGGCGCCGCAGGGACAGGTCCTCGGCCTGCTCGCTGCGTCGACGCTTCCTCCTCCTGGCGCGGGGCGGGGCGGGGGCGGCGGCCGGCCCGCGCGCCGGGGGGCGTCAGTAGTGGGCCGTGGCGGGGGGCGGCGGGGCCGCGGAGGGGGGCGGCGCCGCCCCCGAGGGACCCACCTCCCCGAGCCACGAGTCCGGGGACGGCGGGAAGTCCGGGTAGCCCGCGTTGCTGCTCTCCGTGCTCAGGTCGGAGGCGGGCCCGGAGGCGAGCCCGGAGCCGAGCCCGCGGGACGGCGGCGGTGGCACCTGCAGCTGCAGCGGCGGAGGCGGACCGCCCTGGCCTGCGGGGGAGGAACAGAGGTGCACAGTTAGAAACACACTGAAAAAGGTGAGGCAGGAGGAAAATAAAATGAACTTTCACTCAAAAAATAATTGTTAACTCTCTGAAAAATTAAGGAAAATGAGACAATGACACAAATTAAAAAACGAGTTAATATAAAGAAACAATCAGAAAATAATAATTAAAAAACGATAAAATAAAACACTGGTGGACGCTTCAGTTGAGAGTTAAGAGTGCCCTTTGATAAAAACAAGAACTTACCGAGAGCCGTGAAGGCGCCCATACCCTCGTAGGGGAAGTGAGGGTTGTGGGGGTGGTGGGGGTGCAGAAGGCCTCCCGGCGGCCCCGGCGGTGGCGTCGAGCCCAGGTAGGGCGGCGTGTGCGGCGCGTGCAGGAAGGCGCCCAGCCCGCCGAGGGACCGCGGGCCGCCGCCGATCCCGGGGCTCTGCTCGCCGTCCAGGCCCATGGCCGTCGTGCCGTAGCTGTCGTTGCTGCCCAGGTCTGCGAACAAAAAGGAGGGCCACGGGTGAGTAAAGAAGCGAGGAGTGGGCGTCGAGCCAGCAGCGGCATATTGTGCCGCATCGTCCTGCGGCTGCGGACGTGCTCCCCACACTGGTGGGCCCCAACAGGGGGGTGGGCTAGGCACGCCCGCCGAGCGCCCGTGCGCCCCGCCCGGGGTGTAGAATATCTCCACGGCGTGCTCCCGAGCGTGCTGTGCTCCCCCTCCCCGGCCAGGCGGAGCCCCCTACAGGGAGTGGGCTAGGCACGCCCGCCGCGCGCCTGTGCGCATCGCCCGGTGTGTGGCCTACCTCCGCGGCGCGCTCCCCAGCCTGGCGGCGGGGCCCCCGGGGCATCATAGGGGTGAGTAGGCACGCCCGCTGCGCGCCCGCGCGCCGCGCTCAGGGTGTGGCCTACCTCCACGGCGCGCCCCGCTCGGAGCCACGGCGACCGGCACAGCACAGCTCAGCTCAGCACATTCCAACAACAACAACAACTCAGCCTCAAGTGCGGACGGGCGAACGCCACAACGCTGCGGTAGTGCAGCGGGCCGCGTTCACACCAGGATGCCCCTCACCCCTCACTACCGCGCAGCACCCGCCCGGTTCAGTTAACGCGCGGGTGATTATTGGCGCTTAAAGCAAGTAATTGGCTGAGCGGGGTAAACAAAAAGGGTGGGGAAGGGGAGCCGAATCGAGGTCCCCGCTTATTATTTGATCATGCAGCGCGCGCCGCAAACACGCATACGTCCTCTCTCTCTCTCTCTCTCTCTCTCTCTCTCTCTCTCTCTCTCTCTCTCTCT